CGAAATGTGGTTCCTAATGTTTTAAAGCTGCATGCTAATTAAAATCTATTTTTTGTGAGGCAGAATCGAGCATAAATCAAGAACGTAAAGTTAATTATTTCTTAAGCATTAATTATTTTCAAAGTTATCATCATTTTCATTTGCTTCTGTCATTTTAAACATTGATAGAATAACTTTTTCTCCAAAGCGTGCATTAATAACCGGATTAAGTATGTCAACTAATTACAGATTTCATCATTTCAATGGAATCGCTTTGCGTCACTGGTAAAAGTCTTTATTGTACGTCACGTATGAATGGTAAAACTCATTTTTCCTCGTTTCATCCAATGCGATTTCTGAGTTGGCCAATCAGCAAATTCTCTAGGAGGCCGATACAAAAATACGGAGCGGTTTTCGGCATTCCGCCAGAGAACAAGGGGAACAAAAGAGGAAGGAGGCGGGAAAAGGTAGAACGTGCGCAATCAGGTTCCCTTCTTTTCACGCCACCTTCATTATTGTTCGTCCCCCGAGAGGTTTACGGTCAGGGCATCTGTTCCTGTTACCCAGGTCGGTCACGATGACCCTTCTTGCCACGGACAGTGTCGTTTCCTCTAACATTCACAAACGTTCTCCCTCCCTGGAACCACGTTACATAACGCTTTTTCATAACGACTTTCATTACCTCGCGTCGCCGAGTCCATTATACAAACATTCTATCGATTTCAGCAGTAGATAAATGTCGGCAATTATTCCTGATTAATTATTCGCATTCTCGCCGGGTAATAATTCATCCGCTTGTACTTTCTTTTTCATCAAACGGTACTGTCGGTCGCGGCCGGCAACTAAGTCTCTTACGCAGAAACAGTTTCCAGACTGTGATTTGAAAATAATAATGGGTTCCCCGCGGTGTATAATTATGTAGATTCCTTTCTAATTTAACTCGATGTTTATTTGTTTCTCCTCCTTCGGAATCCTTTTCTCAACGTTCGCAGCATCTCGCGGGAACAAATAGAAAACTACGATTATGAACGTAATGATAACGGTTATAAAGGCTAGAAATCTGTATTTTATTACGAAATTACGGATCTTATAAACTCCATTAAATAAACGATCTTGCTGAAACTGAAAGTAGTATTTATATTACAAGCGTAAATATAACCCTAATAATAAAAGGAATTCGTAGACAGTTTGTATTTCCATAGAACCTGTAGTTTACTTATTATGACGTTTTATTGACAATTCGTGAATGAAATTCATTTTAGACGTCCTTAATTAAAATATCAGTACCAAACCAACCATTAGCTTTTGTCCTTTACCTTCAAGTCTAATTCCCATTTTCAAAAATCCAAGAATTACATTGAAACCCCAATCTCTAACCTAATAAAAAACTCCTCACCCAAAAAACTATACCCATTTAAACACGAAATAAATAAAACCTGTAAACAAAAAAAAATGAAAGAAAGCAGCTTTTAACGATCCGCTTACAACGCAAAGAAAAATCTATCCAAACGAACCCCGACACATACACCGACAAAAAATCTCCCAATCAATAAATTCCCCAAATCGTCTAAGCATCGCATCGAACCCCGTTGCGCGTTATTCAGCTAAAAAATGTGCCCATTTACGGACCATATCGCATTACAATTTGACGACGCTAAGTCGTATACGATCGCCATAAAGATTCTGTTGCGTCGGGGGATCACGGGGCCGGTTAGGCACCGGTAACCCGATGTCGTTGTTTCCTCGCGCCGCTCTCATTATTGTTCGTCCTTCGGGGTTTACGATCACGGTATTCGTCCCTGTCCCTCAGATTGGTCACGATGAGGCCCTGGTACGTTCGTTTCCACTCGTACATCCCTGAATATCGACTCGAAAGACCGCCCGTTGACTCTTTCTCAGCCTGGTGCTCCGGCTCGCCGGCTCTGGCTCGATGGTTCCGTTGCTGACGAGCCTGTACGGAGGCACCAGGCAGCGCGGTAGGTTGAGAACCGTCTTGATAGCGGGCAACACGGGTGGTCCCTGGAGGCCGCGCCGTGGCGAAACGAGCAAATACGCCGTCGGCATTTTTGACGGTGAAATCTGACTAGGTGGGATCCCGACGTTACCCCGTGTCAGACGTCATTCTCGTGCCCTTCCCGCGTTACTTTCCGCTGAATACGTGTATCTTTCGTTCGCGCTTTCGCTCGGTCCTCCGCTGAGCTCCGTCTTTTAATCACCCTGCGCGGCTGATCAACGGCCGTCCCGCGTCTCTTCTACGTGGACCGGGACTACTGGTTTCGTTTGATCGCGATAGGAGTTGGCTTGTATGGGAGAACCTTTGGATGGGAGTAGGAGATCTGAGGGCTTGTGGAGTTGAAGATTTTGAAAGATTGAAGGGGGATGGTGTAAGTGTGATTTGGTTTTGAGAGTTTCGATGGGAATTGGAGATTTTGGGAAATTGGTAACGAAATATATTGTGAACGTGGTTTGGTTTTGGGAGTTTGGATAGGGAATTGTGGATTTTGGAAAATTGATAAGGGAATGTATTGTAATGATAAGAGGAAAATGTGGAATTTACTTTACAAAATGAAGGCGTTACATTGTGTAAATAAAAATGAATTTTCCTCAAATTTTAGAGTAAAAGATATTTTTGACGAGTACATAGGTTTTTTATAATTATACTGATTATTAAAGTATACGTAGTGTAATAATTAGAAGGTATCATTAACTTTTGTTCTCACGTATGATTAACCCGTATGGCTATCTATTACCCTTCTCTTTCTACTTACAGTAAACACAGACTATGGCGCAGTATCTAATTTTTATCCAGCGGATCGTCTTCCATCATTTGACACCATGTTATTGTATTAAACGAACGATGTCGTAAGATTGTTGCAGTTTGTACATAGGAGCATAAACAAACAGAAATAGGCATTTGCTTTGATTTATTTAGTCACAATTTTATAAGTAGGTAAATTGAACATTTTTTTTTTCTAATCATAATTTTCTTGTTTCCCTTTTCCTTGAGCAAATCATTTACACTTTTTCAATATTACATCAATTTTAATTATATACAACACAAATTAATAACATCATTGAAAAACACTATTGTACTTGTTCATCAATTTATAATAATTATTTTTCTCTTCAATACTGATTAACTAACAAATATAATACAAAAAGCAACTCTTACAATCTTACCCTCAAAATGAATCGCGAAGCAGAGGTATAATTAAGGTTTTCAAAGTTGATTACAGAATTAAATTTTACTTCCACATGCGACAATCTTAACCAGTTAACTACCTTTGAAGAATACACACGCCATCTTAAAGCTTGAAATGATACTAATTCTGTCAGCGATGAATTCTTTATCTTTTCAGATAAACGTGTAATTCTATTTTATTTTGCTTCGGTTTTTCATTGAAATATACCCTAAGTGTTATTCATATTCATTTATTGCACGCAAAACGAAAGATTTTTCAAACTAAACTCCACAGTTAACAGATTGATATTCATTCATGGCTCTTCTTGTGTCTTTGACGTTTAAATAATTCAGCAGTTACCGCGCGTTTGAATTGACTTACTTAGATAGAATCGTGGGGGATGTTTTACCGGCTGAAGAAGAACATCTCGAACCATAACAAAGTTATTTCCACGTCTTCTTCTGGGAAGGCTTTCGTTGGTACTCTGCCAGAAATTTTTCTCGGTATACCCGTAAAGCCATAGAAACGTGTGTTACGACACCGGGGCCCAGCCAATGTTTCTCTTCGGGGAATCGTCCCGAGCATAAACATCAGCAGGCCGCCGAAAGCTTAAAGTGGCACGAGTCGCGAATAAAGCGACCGGCCAATCACGGCGATTCTCGCGGACTCTTTCGCTCGGCTCGGGATGGCTCACTGGAAGGCTAAGGTAGTCCCATTTCGATAGAAGATAACTATGTCTTATATGAAGTAGTCATTTCATTCCTGAACTTCACTCAGAGATAAAGTGTAATTAACGGAAGTAAGATTGGTTATTCTAGAATTATACACTCCCGTTTAATTGCTGGGAATAATCTTACAATATGCAATTATTTTGGCGTATTCGTTAGCGCAAAGCACAGTTTGTTACGATGCTATAAATTTTTAAGGCAATCCACGTTATTGACGGAGAACAAATTCTGTAACAGTGTTCAAATGTTTTTACTGGATTTGGTGATACTAAAAGAAGTTTCGAGTAATTGTGTATATTTTGAAGAGGGAAATTTTACGGTAATCATGACTTTTGAACTAAGATTTAGGTTAGATTAATATAAAAATAGTTCAGTGAAATAAAAATATATCGGAGACAAAACTTTTTTTTACATTTGCGGAAGTCTTTTTTCGTTGAAAGAATTCAATGGTCACAAAGATTCCAGTTTTAATAGAAACCTTCTTGATGCTGTCAAGATAAGGGAAATATTTATAGTGGTAAAGATATATGAAACACTTTATATGTAAAAACAATTATGTGAATGTATATTTTACTCCAGAATAACAGACACTTTACTAGATTGATCAAAACAATTCATTTCATTTTTCTTCTCTCACAGTAATTAACTCTTTGCAAACGAAACTTTTATAAACTTTGAAGACTTCTTTTCATAAAAAATCTGAATGCTGCATCGAAGTTTTAAATAGTAAAAAAAACCACATGTCAGTCTCTCGTTAGTCAAATAATTAAATTATTCATTTGCAGTTTTTGATTTTAGATATCGAAGTTTAAAGTCGCCATTACGGTGTCATTCAATCGTAAAGGATTAAAAACAGACGGCTAAGTACTTTTCTAAGAGATTATTAAATAAATGGGTTCATTAGTTCGTATAAATATAAATGTAAATATAAATATAAGTTGTGCCGATTTGACCGACGCGATGACTCAATTAACCACGATTGTTTCGAAAATAATCGAAATTCATCCTCTCCAATGAGATTCGCTGATTTTTGATAGATGAGATTTTTCAGCGTGACTTTGCGAGAGTGCCCCGACTTGATATCCCTTCTGTTTTTTTCTGTTGGCCGTAGAAGGCGGAAGGCTACAAAAAGAGCTGACCTACGCCTCGGAAGCACTGGGTGAAGCAGCCGCCTCGACGCATCAACTGGTCATCCAAACCCCGAGACATTCCGGGGCGAATATTTTGCATCCAGCCGCACTCAAGGAACATTTAGCGATCCTGAAGGCGGCGACGCAGGTCACCGTACACCTGTTCGAAATGTAAGCTTTTCTCGTTCGTCTTTTTTCACTTCTTCCTTTCATCATTCTGGTTTCTTGCGCGAACCGATGCGCTCGCAACTTGGCAAGAAAGGGGACGGCTGATGAGTCCGCACAACGAGTTTCCATGACTTTCGATCTGGGTTGCAGCAATCGCTGTACTTAATCTCAAATTACGTCAATTTAATATCTAGTTAGTGCTGTTCTCGTTGTCATTTTTGGCAAAGAGATTGCTCGAAACGATGTTGCCGCTGTACTAAACGAAAATTAGTTGATGAGTTTATATATTCACATGTTTCAATATTATTAAATTTCCGTTAAAAGGATTGCTTTTGAAACCTACGTCGATGAATAAAAAATATTTCTCCTTTACACCATTCACTTCTTCTATAACTAAAAGCGACTTTAAACAAAGGAATATACTAAAGTGTCATTAATTGATTGTGGATATACATGCATTTGATCACGACGTGGAAAAATGTCCAAAATATATTGTTTTTTATAATATTTATCAGACAGAACCACTTTCCATTATAATTCTGTTTTTCGAATTACATTATCAAAAAGTCGAATTTGCATAGAGATACGCAGTCTAGTCACGAACCTCTCAAGAAGTGATAATTGAAGAACGGTTTTCTATTCAATGTTTGTACCCGGATAAGACTTACAAGGGAACCTTTTTAACCAGCACACGTCGATTTTGATGAAACTTCTGTGAAACATAGTTCTTAAGAAAATATTTGATACGTATTTTTTCTTATCGGCCAACATTCACTTTGAAGGGGTGAAAACACATCTCAAAGTTGAAGGTTGAAAGTATATCCTTTACAATACTTCTGGAGCTAGGGGTATAGAAAAAAAATCTAAATTATCCATTTCAAGGCGAAAAACTTAAAGAAAAATTTGTTTCGTACGCCCTCCAGTTTCAAGGTATCGTAAAAAATATACTTTTAACCTTCAACTCTGTGATGTGTTTTTACCATTTCAAAGTGGATATTAGTCGATAAGAAAAAATACTTGTAAAATATTTTCTTGAGTACTATGCCTCACATAAGTTTCATCAAAATTGGCATGTGCTGGTTGAAAAGGTCGCCTTGTTAGATTCTTTTGGAAACTTGATGCAGCGGAGATTGCAGTATCGCCCCTTTTCACGCGGGCTCCGCGGACATCCTGTAAATACAGGAAAAGCGGCTTAGAGAAGCGACAGACAGTGATCGTTCCAAGTTTTTGTCTCGAGTGCTCTTCTCGGGCCGCTTTATCGGCGGGGCGGGGGTTAAGGGGATGCAAACTTGTATTCATGAATGCATGTGTTCCGTGTCGCTTGCAGCACGTGGAGGCTGAAAGACATGTGTTACGCGCTGAACATACCCAACTTCGACATGCACTACATCGACCAGGTAATTTAAAACTACCACTACTTTATATGTAGGTGATACCTTAACCGCGCGCGCGCGTGTAAACCGTCGTTCCGATTACGCGGCCGCGGCTATTCACGAATTCGACGCGTGAACCACGATACCGCGTTATTGCGCACGCATCGCGACTCCTCGATTTCTATTAGGAAACTGCGGACCTAGCGATGGCTACGACGCTCGGATCGATCCGTGATCCTTCGTTCACGATCTCGATTCGTCGTGGTTCAATCCTTACCGAGATTGAACGATAATTTTAATCGTACGATGGTTGCCTCATAAAGGAAAATTGAGAGATTTATTGATGGTTCGGTTGCTATATTAACATTAGTTTTACGGAACTCGTCAATTTGACGGATTCTGAATTTTATAAATGTTATTTGGTAAATGTTTACGCCAATTTCGATTGGTGGAATCATATGTATTCTAATTGTCTACTTTTACACCTCTAATTTCCATGATCTGATTGAACGAACGTCAATTTTTCTAGGAACAGTAGAATAAAATATTTAATAAATGATTATTAAATCAAATTATTGCAGTATTTCATTGTTTTATAACAGAAAAATCGACGGAGTCGAATCAACGAAAAACAGTCAGAATTCGATTATTAAACTAACAGTTCATACAGTTTTATTTCTAACACACATTCGAAAATTTTTAGTATACAATATATCTTATCTATATTTTCTCCACAATCCATTAAAATAAGAAGTTACATTCGAATAATTCTTCACAAACCAAGAATTCTGTGTCTTAATTCAATGCTTCGTTGTTCACGTATCAAAGCCCCAACAGTCAGTACTATTCCAAGTATTTCTTATTTAAAATACCAGCCGATTGATCGTGACACGTAAAAGTACATTTCACCGACAAAATAAGAAATCGAAACGTTCCAAGGAAATCGTGCCCATCGCTAGACGTTCCCGGTTTCTCAAGTTCTCCTGTTTCTCGATTTCCAGTCGCCACGTCGTTCCCGGACGGCTCACGCGTGGTCGTAAACGTCGAAAATTCAATACAATGCTTGAAAAGCCGTGGCTTTGTACCACTATAAGATACGGTTATAAGTCGTGCGTGTCCACTCACGTGTGCCGCGCCGTTTCTTGCACCGCTAACGAGCGAACGCGTTAAAACATCGCTAAGCATATATCGGCCGTGGGGGAAAAAGGAAGTGCACGGGGCCACATCAGAGACACCGCGCCTTCAACACCACTTCCGTGACATTACGAGCGCGTTTCTTAAGAGAGCTCGATTTTATGCTCCAGTTTCTTCTTCTTTCCCCTTCCCCCCTTCCTTCTCTCTTTTTTCTCTCTGTCTTCAGGAACGAATCATTTCTCCAGTCTTTCCTTTGATTTTCTGACATTAACCATCGATTCGGCGAGTTTACGAGCCCCGCGACGCGCATTTCCGGTGATAATTAATTCTAAAAGGATGTTTGAAGGCGAACAAGTGACGAGATAAAAAGAATCTTCTTTTACGCGCTCGGTTCGCTGTGGACAAGTTTTTTCGGACGCCGCAGGTGTTTTCTGCGTGAATGGGAATGATCGGCGCCTCAATACAGTGAAGCTATTTGACAATTTCGGACAGTACTGAAACTGTAATATTTGGAATGGAGTGATTCAGGTAGCGTTGTAGTTGGGATAAGTACTTTTGTTATGCTTTTTCTAAAAATATTTCTACTTTGTATAGTTACGTTCGACTAATTTATTTTAAAATTTACTCGTTGGTTTCTAATAAGATTTCGCATTTAACAGAACAGAGAAAAGAAACTAAAGCACAACGAAACACATTTTACCATAGATTAGTAAAAGTACGTTAATATTTCATTTCTGACTTAATTGTCATGATTAATTAATGAAATAAATTTTTCTGTGATCTTAGTCACTGTACAATAAGCAACGAAAGTGATCATTTGCATATTACGATAGATCATTGAGAGGGAACGGTACAAGATTTGATAAAATCGCGAACCGAGGCTTCTCCCATGGAATTCCAATCTCATTGCGACTCATCAAGTTTCAATTTAAAAATTAATGTCAAATGATAGATGTTTCGGTATGCAGGCAGCGCCTCGAGCAACCGACTAAATCACATGGCGGTGTCTTGTATCTCAGACAAACAGGAATATTATTATCCTGCAGCTGGCTACAGGCTGTTTCATTTTAACTGCGTATGAATTTTTCATCTCTGATATTTCAACCGTATTTCGACCAATTTTTACACAGATTTGCAATTTTTATAAAGCAATTTTCTTTATTCAAATTGAAACAGATGTTTCAGAAAAAGTGACTGAATTTAAGATCATGTGACGCATTATTTTATTACATATATATAAATGTTTATTATTATAAGTACACCTTTTTTAATATATTTATTGCTGTTTTATTTATTTAGTTATTATAGAAAGCATTGTTTATTATTACTCAAAGTAAAGAAATTAATTTTTGTGCAATTTTCATTATATTTTACGACAATATGCCTTTTTTCTGTTTCGATGCTTCAAAATTGTTACATCTAAATTGCAATATTGATATTACTCTAAATTTGATTATTCGTATTTGAAATTCAAAATTTCTTTTGTATCCACAAGTAATTTAAAATTAGTGATGTGCTTATTATATTTTATAATCTTCTTGTTTTATTTATTAAGTAGTACACAAATTGATTTAGTATGCCCAAAAGCTGCAGTGTTTAACAAACTAAAATACGATGTTCGATGACTGAAGAAAATAAAAGAAACAAAGAGATGAGTGAAATTCGAGTATGTAGTAGGTATACAGCCTGTACGCAGAAAAGCATTCCTGTTTATGTGGTTGCAGTGCTGCAGAAAAGTCTCTTCGACGAAGCTGTCTTTCCGCGTCTCGAACTTGCAACCCTCATACATGATCCTTTAAGGGCGTTTAAACTGCGAGAAATTTAGTGTGTCATAAATTACGAGTGATTCATTACTCCATAAAAGCTTCAGAAGCTATTCTTGACTTTCCTGCTTATTTCTAACAATAAGATTCCTGTTATAAACGTACAATGTATGGCTGGGAGAGTTGAAAAAGCATTAAAAGCCACATTACAAAATGTTCCCAATTTAAATAGATCGTAATTATATCGTATGAATGCAAACAGTGATTTTTATGCATTTGTAATAGCTACGGATTTTTTTATATTCATGGTACACGCTACTTGCCAGAAGTTTGCAGATTTTTAATAAAATTCTGTTTCATAAGAAAATTACTGACTGAACTATTTATGTTTTTGATTGCAAAGTTAAATATAAATATGTCTAACATACAAAATTTTATCATACAAATCGTTTTTCGTGTCATTAAAATTCTCTAATAAATTTCCTGGAGTTTAGAACCACTGGATAACATTGTGCTACCCCATAAATAATACAGTTTTCTACACATCTTTCACTTTTAAACATAAAACCAAACTTTTTTAAGTCGAGAAAAAATCTCTTTCATTGCGTATAGATTATTCTTTCTTACCTAGAAGAAATCTTTTATTTTTAAAAATTAAGATAAATAAAACTTTTTAAATCTAGAAAAATTCTCTTTCCTTACCAATAAATTGTTCTTGTTTTCCTAGAACTTCTTCTTTAAATGAAAAAAAGTTTCGTTCATCCCTTGGCGTACAATATCATGTCAGACCCATGGTGCAGATTTCAAATAGAATTTAACAAACATTAATATTATTCAGTTTGTTCAAATGTAAATTACATATAATTCCTCTGTTATTAATGGTTATACCTTAGAGAACACCTTGACATAAAGTAAGACTGGAATTTTCTCCTATTTCCAATAAATGATTAATAACAAAGTAGTTAGATCGATCACAGTTCAGGAGGAAATCGCAGGGTGAGGGGTAAATGATAAAGAATAAAAGAAGCATAAGTGCAGACCGCATTATTTATGGGATTACCCAATGAATACCATTCACAGGTATTCAGTTTCAATTTCATTTTGTCGCCATAAATCGAGGAGGGAATAGGAGCGCTCTACAAACGAGGAACAGTAATAGACGGTAGAAAGATGACTGGGAACTAACGTTAAATGTGCGGCGGCGCAATTAGCCTTCTCGTAACGAGCGCGTATCGGCGGAACGGTGTCGCGTGTGGTCCGCGGTTTTGCTCCTCCCTCGTCCTTATTATACGCAAATGCGAGCCCCCGGGGCAGTAAATACCTATTTCACGAGCTCGCCGCCCGTGTTTCTCTTTTCTTCGCGCGATAATTTCCGTCTTTTGAAACGCTTCCTGGTCTATGACTTCGTTAAACGTTAAAATTATTGCGCTCGAGCTCAAGCGCAAATGATACATGCGTTGCACGTATACAGGTAGGAGGCAGGAACATGAAGGGCTCATCATGTACTTCCTCATCTCTCTTGCCGCTCGAAGAGATATACCGGTATCTCTGTTCAAGAAACGCTCGCCAATAATTTACCGACTATCCTCACTTGTTCGCTAAGTGATCCTATCTTCGACCATCATTTACGTTCGGTTAAACTTTCATATTTTACCCACGGGTCGCTGAATACTTCCTGTTTCGCGGTTTCGATGATAATTTACGTAAATGGTTCCCAATCGTTTTTTGCGTGCTCCTCAGTGGGTACTGTACTTTAAAGATATAACCAGCTCGAATTAATGCTTGAATTTATTTGGAATATTAACAGATTAGCGCTCGATATTCTAATATTAAACGTACGTACCATTTGGTAAGGTACCAGGAGAATTGATAATCGATACGCCCTGAGTAATTGAGTAATTACATTTTCTATGAATTACTTCGCAGACTCTGAATCTTACGAAATAGTCGCTATATCGGTTCTGGTAATGCTGAAGATTGATTAAAATTGAAATAAGATAGTTGAGCGTCGAGGTTTAACCCCTTTTCTCACTGACGTTACCAGCAACTCGAAGTAACTTTAATAGAAAAAGCATACTAACAGATAAATAAATGATACGCTCATAAAAATAAAAATCATAGGTGTGTTTTACTGTTTTCTGTCGCTTATAGACATAAATGTTATAATATATTCAAACATGACAAATTTTATATGGCTCGGAGCCTTCAAGTGCAAAGAGTTAATCTTCAATATAGCTTTTAGCAACTACAGTTAAATCCTATCGTCGTTTGCATTGGTTGATAGTTCCTTTCCTGCAGCGACAATTCATCTGAAGAGTCCATCTAACCAACAGCAAAAAGTACTTCGATTTATTCCAAGTCTCCAACGCATGCTAATCTGTAACACCATTAGCGCCATTGTAAATAACGTTTCGTACGCGGAGTGTCAGCGCGTCGTCTGTTCACCAACCAGCAAAACTTGTGAGCCGGGTCCGAAAACGAATTAAGCGGGAGGCTCCGTTGACTTTTTCTCGGAGGGATCGGAAGGACAATTTGACAAATGTCCGCGACCGTTCCCCGAACACTATCCGAAATTCGTATTATTCGTGAATCAAAAGGGCCGAAAAAAAGGAGAGGCAAGGGAGAGGAGACGCTTGAAGCGAAGGACCGCCCTATTCGAGTTTCCGAGAACACACAGGTGGCCGAGGCCCCCGTAATGCCCCGTTACCAAGAAAAACCTTATGGCGATCGTTAGTGTCCACTATCGGAAGAAAAGGAGAAATAATCGTAAATCGGAGCCGAGAACGTACGGCTCGCCATTAAGCGATGACGATGATTAAATGCTCCCGAATCATAATAATTATCAACGGAGGTAGGAGCAGACATGAACGGAAATTGTATTAAGCTCGTGGCCGCGGTACCGCCGGGTCAGCCACGAATAATCTCGCCCGATCGATGGTTCGTTAATCGGAGAACTCTCATGCTAAATCGTTTATTTCGCCCCGGAATCGCCGCGTAATTTTTCAATTACACCGAAAAAGCATTCCTTCAGGCATCATGACGGGACCCGTTGTTTTTAGATCTTCGATAGTATCATACCGTGCGCCATCATTACGCCCCTCGACTGTTTCTGGGAAGGCAGCAAACTCCTGGGACCGGAGTATCCCGTCCACATACCGTAAGTACGAGAAAATGTATCCTCTGGACGACCGCGAATTATGAAGGAATCGTTTTATTACGTTCCTTTTTGGTGTGCCGGGTAGACGAGGTAGATTACCTTTGAATCTGCAAATTGATTTCCGTGCTTCAATTGCGAAATTAATCGTCGATCCATTTGCATACCACGATTGTGGGTAACGACTCGATCAACCTTCGGGAATTTCACCGAGGAAGGATGCTTAATTGCAACATGTACGCATGATATACAGGGTGTCCGGTTTTAATCTAGCGCCGCGAAGCGTTCGCGGTTACGCGATCGATAAGAAATTGCTTCGGATACGGGTTGAATTGGTTTTGGCAGGCATTTGACTCGATTCGAGTGGTATTTTTTACAAGTGGATACGTAGAAAATTTTGGAAGGTTAAATTTGCTGCTTTTTTATTGAAATCGTATGTTTTTGATATTTAATCGATGTAACTCTTTATTTTGTATAAAAATAGCATTAATTATTTCTGCTAAGAAATCATTACTTAAAAATATCTACCTGCATTTGCAATGCGTTACAATGATGAAAGTAATGCTTCTGAAGGTTTGAATGTTAAAACAAATTCTCTACTTTTGTTATCCAATTTTACAAATTTACGAGTGGTTACTTACATTCTTAATATCCTTAAAATTGTTTAATATACTTCGATGTAATTTAATATCATTTAAAATCGGTTAATATACTTTAATGTGATTTAGTATCACTTAAAGTCGTTTAATATCCTTTAATATTGTACAATTTAAAAATAATTTAGGAAATAAAGAACTGCAACGATTAACGCATTACAAATATGTGCATTCACTACGATTACAAAAAAATTGCTTATGTCACTTTATTCCACAAGGCTATTCAATGTCTATATAATAGATTAAAATTAGACATTTTGTGTATATACACACTACTAACAAAAAATTCGACGTTGCCCTGATTATGTTAGTAGATAAAGATCTTTTATCTGTATAAGTAATTGTCTT